TTTCCCTGCTGGAGCTGCTCCCATGGGGGGATCACCTGTAGGCATTGTAGAGGTTGCGTTTCTCGTTCATGCCCTCGCACCAGCCCTGGGCCGAGCAGAGCAGGGTGAAGTTCCTGGCTGGGAACTCGAGTATGCAGTCGGCACTGCTTGTGCATGGAGACTCCTCCACGCGTGCATCGTCTAGGTCCGTCACTTTCAGCTCCCCGTCCACCAACACGAACTGTCGCGGGCGGAAGTCCAGCAGCGTGACAGAGCCCAGTGGGGAGTGGGCCAGGTGGTGGAGGAGGCGGCCCAGGCTCAGGCAGATCTGAGGGCAAACACATGAGGGCTGCTCACCACTTCCCTTCTGGGTGGGGACCCCGAGGATTCCTGGGTCTCTCTTGTGGGGCTCTGGACTCAGCTCAGGGATTGGCCTTTCCCTTTTAGAGGCCAGGGACTTTAGAGAGCAGGCCAGTGATTTCTCATTAACTCTTGCCTGGCCTGACCCTGCAAATAATATGGAGTAGGCAGGGAAATGGGCAGCTGGGGAACCGAGGAATCTCTTCCCTAAAGGTGCATCTTGAGTGTGGTTTTAGTCCAGTGTATGGAAAGAGGGGGAAGTCAATGACCTTTGGGCCCTTCCTAGTGTCAGGACACTGGAAGCCAGGCTGAGTGTGCATGAGTGTGTATGTGTGTGTGCTTATGTGGGTGGGAGAGGAGAGCTGGAGCACGGAAGTCCGAACTCTATGTGCTGCTTCTTTTTCTAAACCTTTGGCCAATGGCTGAGTCAGCCCGCAGTCCTCCCCTCCCTTCTTCCCTCCCTCCCTCCTGGGGCTGTGGGGTAAGCTGCTCTGGAGGGCTGGCCTTCTAAGGGAGAACTATCCCAGCCAGGAGCCTGGGCCCAGCCCTCCTCCCCACTCACTCGGAACCGATCCTCCCAGGAGGTCTGGAGCAGCTGGATCATCTCCACAGGGGCGCCCAGCTCCGTGATGGTGGTCAGGGTGTCCGGAATGTCCTCGCTGTCCTGGTAGCAGTAGCCATAGAGCTGGGGAAGCCCAGGGCAGGTCATTAGGTCACAGGGTGGGGGTGGGGACAGAGAAGGGCTAGGCTGTCAGACGTCCCCTCTCTCCTACCCTCCCACCACCATCCCAGAGCCTTCGCTTCAGCTCAGGCCAGCAGAGAATAGCAGCATTGCCTGGGAAACGCGCCCTCTCATCTCAACAGCTGCGGTTCCTGCTG